ATGGGGTATGGACATAGGTTAGAGGCATCGGGTATGGACATAGGTTAGAGGCATCGGGTATGGACATAGGTTAGAGGCATCGGGTATGGACATAGGTTAGAGCATCGGGTATGGACATAGGTTAGAGGCATGGGGTATGGACATAGGTTAGAGGCATGGGGTATGGACATAGGTTAGAGGCATGGGGTATGGACATAGGTTAGAGGCATCGGGTATGGACATAGGTTAGAGGCATGGGGTATGGACATAGGTTAGAGGCATGGGGTATGGACATAGGTTAGAGGCAAGGGGTATGGACATAGGTTAGAGGCATGGGGTATGGACATAGGTTAGAGGCATCGGGTATGGACATAGGTTAGAGGCATGGGGTATGGACATAGGTTAGAGGCATGGGGTATGGACATAGGTTAGAGGCATGGGGTATGGACATAGGTTAGAGGCATGGGGTATGGACATAGGTTAGAGGCATCGGGTATGGACATAGGTTAGAGGCATGGGGTATGGACATAGGTTAGAGGCATGGGGTATGGACATAGGTTAGAGGCATCGGGTATGGACATAGGTTAGAGGCATGGGGTATGGACATAGGTTAGAGGCATGGGGTATGGACATAGGTTAGAGGCATGGGGTATGGACATAGGTTAGAGGCATCGGGTATGGACATAGGTTAGAGGCATGGGGTATGGACATAGGTTAGAGGCATGGGGTATGGACATAGGTTAGAGGCATGGGGTATGGACATAGGTTAGAGGCATGGGGTATGGACATAGGTTAGAGGCATGGGTATGGACATAGGTTAGAGGCATCGGGTATGGACATAGGTTAGAGGCATGGAGTATGGACATAGGTTAGAGGCATGGGGTATGGACATAGGTTAGAGGCATCGGGTATGGACATAGGTTAGAGGCATGGGGTATGGACATAGGTTAGAGGCATGGGGTATGGACATAGGGTAGGGGCATGGGTTATGGACATAGGTTAGAGGCATGGGGTATGGACATAGGTTAGAGGCATCGGGTATGGACATAGGTTAGAGGCATCGGGTATGGACATAGGTTAGAGGCATGGGGTATGGACATAGGTTATAGGCATGGGGTATGGACATAGGTTAGAGGCATGGGGTATGGACATAGGTTAGAGGCATGGGGTATGGACATAGGTTAGAGGCATCGGGTATGGACATAGGTTAGAGGCATCGGGTATGGACATAGGTTAGAGGCATCGGGTATGGACATAGGTTAGAGGCATGGGGTATGGACATAGGTTAGAGGCATGGGGTATGGACATAGGTTAGAGGCATCGGGTATGGACATAGGTTAGAGGCATCGGGTATGGACATAGGTTAGAGGCATCGGGTATGGACATAGGTTAGAGGCATGGGGTATGGACATAGGTTAGAGGCATCGGGTATAGACATAGGTTAGAGGCATCGGGTATGGACATAGGTTAGAGGCATCGGGTATGGACATAGGTTAGAGGCATGGGGTATGGAGATAGGTTAGAGGCATCGGGTATGGACATAGGTTAGAGGCATCGGGTATGGACATAGGTTAGAGGCATCGGGTATGGACATAGGTTAGAGGCATGGGGTATGGACATAGGTTAGAGGCATGGGGTATGGACATAGGTTAGAGGCATCGGGTATGGACATAGGTTAGAGGCATCGGGTATGGACATAGGTTAGAGGCATCGGGTATGGACATAGGTTAGAGGCATGGGGTATGGACATAGGTTAGAGGCATGGGGTATGGACATAGGTTAGAGGCATCGGGTATGGACATAGGTTAGAGGCATCGGGTATGGACATAGGTTAGAGGCATGGGGTATGGACATAGGTTAGAGGCATGGGGTATGGACATAGGTTAGAGGCATGGGGTATGGACATAGGTTAGAGGCATGGGGTATGGACATAGGTTAGAGGCATCGGGTATGGACATAGGTTAGAGGCATGGGGTATGGACATAGGTTAGAGGCATGGGGTATGGACATAGGTTAGAGGCATGGGGTATGGACATAGGTTAGAGGCATGGCGTATGGACATAGGTTAGAGGCATCGGGTATGGACATAGGTTAGAGGCATGGGGTATGGACATAGGTTAGAGGCATGGGGTATGGACATAGGTTAGAGGCATCGGGTATGGACATAGGTTAGAGGCATGGGGTATGGACATAGGTTAGAGGCATGGGGTATGGACATAGGGTAGGGGCATGGGTTATGGACATAGGTTAGAGGCATGGGGTATGGACATAGGTTAGAGGCTTGGGGTATGGACATAGGTTAGAGGCATGGGGTATGGACATAGGGTAGGGGCATGGGTTATGGACATAGGTTAGAGGCATGGGGTATGGACATAGGTTAGAGGCATGGGGTATGGACATAGGTTAGAGGCATCGGGTATGGACATAGGTTAGAGGCATGGGGTATGGATATAGGTTAGAGGCATCGGGTATGGACATAGGTTAGAGGCATGGGGTATGGACATAGGTTAGAGGCATGGGGTATGGACATAGGTTAGAGGCATCGGGTATGGACATAGGTTAGAGGCATGGGGTATGGACATAGGGTAGAGGCATCGGGTATGGACATAGGTTAGAGGCATCGGGTATGGACATAGGTTAGAGGCATCGGGTATGGACATAGGTTAGAGGCATGGGGTATGGACATAGGTTAGAGGCATGGGGTATGGACATAGGTTAGAGGCATGGGGTATGGACATAGGTTAGAGGCATCGGGTATGGACATAGGTTAGAGGCATGGGGTATGGACATAGGTTAGAGGCATCGGGTATGGACATAGGTTAGAGGCATGGGGTATGGACATAGGTTAGAGGCATGGGGTATGGACATAGGTTAGAGGCATGGGGTATGGACATAGGTTAGAGGCATGGCGTATGGACATAGGTTAGAGGCATCGGGTATGGACATAGGTTAGAGGCATGGGGTATGGACATAGGTTAGAGGCATGGGGTATGGAGATAGGTTAGAGGCATCGGGTATGGACATAGGTTAGAGGCATGGGGTATGGACATAGGTTAGAGGCATGGGGTATGGACATAGGGTAGGGGCATGGGTTATGGACATAGGTTAGAGGCATGGGGTATGGACATAGGTTAGAGGCTTGGGGTATGGACATAGGTTAGAGGCATGGGGTATGGACATAGGGTAGGGGCATGGGTTATGGACATAGGTTAGAGGCATGGGGTATGGACATAGGTTAGAGGCATGGGGTATGGACATAGGTTAGAGGCATCGGGTATGGACATAGGTTAGAGGCATGGGGTATGGACATAGGTTAGAGGCATCGGGTATGGACATAGGTTAGAGGCATGGGGTATGGACATAGGTTAGAGGCATGGGGTATGGACATAGGTTAGAGGCATCGGGTATGGACATAGCTTAGAGGCATGGGGTATGGACATAGGGTAGAGGCATGGGTTATGGACATAGGTTAGAGGCATGGGGTATGGACATAGGTTAGAGGCATGGGGTATGGACATAGGTTAGAGGCATGGGGTATGGACATAGGTTAGAGGCATGGGGTATGGACATAGGTTAGAGGCATGGGGTATGGACATAGGTTAGAGGCATGGGGTATGGACATAGGTTAGAGGCATGGGGTATGGACATAGGTTAGAGGCATGGGGTATGGACATAGGTTAGAGGCATGGGGTATGGACATAGGTTAGAGGCATGGGTTATGGACATAGGTTAGAGGCATGGGGTATGGACATAGGTTAGAGGCATGGGGTATGGACATAGGTTAGAGGCATCGGGTATGGACATAGGTTAGAGGCATGGGGTATGGACATAGGTTAGAGGCATCGGGTATGGACATAGGTTAGAGGCATGGGGTATGGACATAGGTTAGAGGCATGGGGTATGGACATAGGTTAGAGGCATCGGGTATGGACATAGGTTAGAGGCATGGCGTATGGACATAGGTTAGAGGCATCGGGTATGGACATAGGTTAGAGGCATGGGGTATGGACATAGGTTAGAGGCATGGGGTATGGAGATAGGTTAGAGGCATCGGGTATGGACATAGGTTAGAGGCATGGGGTATGGACATAGGTTAGAGGCATGGGGTATGGACATAGGGTAGGGGCATGGGTTATGGACATAGGTTAGAGGCATGGGGTATGGACATAGGTTAGAGGCTTGGGGTATGGACATAGGTTAGAGGCATGGGGTATGGACATAGGGTAGGGGCATGGGTTATGGACATAGGTTAGAGGCATGGGGTATGGACATAGGTTAGAGGCATGGGGTATGGACATAGGTTAGAGGCATCGGGTATGGACATAGGTTAGAGGCATGGGGTATGGACATAGGTTAGAGGCATCGGGTATGGACATAGGTTAGAGGCATGGGGTATGGACATAGGTTAGAGGCATGGGGTATGGACATAGGTTAGAGGCATCGGGTATGGACATAGGTTAGAGGCATGGGGTATGGACATAGGGTAGAGGCATGGGTTATGGACATAGGTTAGAGGCATGGGGTATGGACATAGGTTAGAGGCATGGGGTATGGACATAGGTTAGAGGCATGGGGTATGGACATAGGTTAGAGGCATGGGGTATGGACATAGGTTAGAGGCATGGGGTATGGACATAGGTTAGAGGCATGGGGTATGGACATAGGTTAGAGGCATGGGGTATGGACATAGGTTAGAGGCATGGGGTATGGACATAGGTTAGAGGCATGGGGTATGGACATAGGTTAGAGGCATGGGTTATGGACATAGGTTAGAGGCATGGGGTATGGACATAGGTTAGAGGCATGGGGTATGGACATAGGTTAGAGGCATGGGTTACGATACAGCAGGGGTATCGGCGGCATACGACATGAGTATGGAGCATGGGCTGATAGTTGCAGGACACAAGGGGATATGCTCCACCAAACATGATGGCGTGACGATATGGTTGGGTGGATAATTGGTTGCAAGATTGGGAGAAAAAATACGTTGCGAGTGAAGGCAGCAGCACGTGGTGGGAGAATCAGGAGGCAAGCACCGTCACAAGCACAATACTGTAGGCGCTGCCAATGCATGACTCACTGTCGGCGCTGCCAATGCATGACTCACTGTCGGCGCTGCCAATGCATGACTCACTGTCGGCGCTGCCAATGCATGACTCACTGTCGGCGCTGCCAATGCATGACTCACTGTCGGCGCTGCCAATGCATGACTCACTGTCGGCGCTGCCAATGCATGACTCACTGTCGGCGCTGCCAATGCATGACTCACTGTCGGCGCTGCCAATGCATGACTCACTGTCGGCGCTGCCAATGCATGACTCACTGTCGGCGCTGCCAATGCATGACTCACTGTCGGCGCTGCCAATGCATGACTCACTGTCGGCGCTGCCAATGCATGACTCACTGTCGGCGCTGCCAATGCATGACTCACTGTCGGCATAAATGTTGCCAACGAGCAGCGATGCGCGCTTCCAGGGGTCCTGCGACCCGTTGGTGAAGTAGATGCGTGACGCTGCGCTCAGAGTTGGCACATGAGTGGCGGGGGGAGGGAAGTGGGGGGGAGGAGGGGTGAGGGGTGTTGAACATCGGATTCATAGAACCACGAGTGCAGTGCAAAGCACAATAGTTCCAGCAAGTGAAGGGAAGTATGGAGCAGCAGCATGAGATGAGAGTGGTCGTGACTGACAGGCAATGGCGGTGCCGCCAAAGAAGGTGTTGGTGGCGTCCACATCGGGGAAGAGCGCTCGGTGCTCCCCGTACACTGCTGTGCACAGCCCCTGCCAGTAGCTGCGTGCGGTGTGGAGTGGCGAGAGGATGGCAGGCAGCAAAATGGAGGCACGAATGAAGGAAGCGAGCTGTGTGAGCCACGGAGTTTCAAAAAGGATAAGCAGTGCATATGAGCGAGATGAGGTGTGTGTGAGATAGTGCACAGATAGTGCACAGGTGGGTGGCAGCTGGTATGGTTGATCGGTGATATGACAGCATGAGCAGTGGCAGCAGTATCGGTCCCACCACTGCATCTCGCATTCAATCACCACCGCACCTCTGTTTCACCGCACCTCCCATCCACCATCGCACCTCATGTTCAAAGCCTCTGATCGAATGCGAAGGCCAATGCGGGTGGGCGTCTGGAAGAAGGCCATTTGCGAGCAGCACTGGTACAGCCACGTGCGCATGTCTGCAGAATGTTGAATGGCGGCAGGCAGGAAAGACGATGGCAGCCAGGCCAGGTGACGTGTGAGGTGTGAGGGGCGGTGATGCAAGCGGAAGTGGAAGGAATGAAGAGTTGGCCTTCGGAAGGCGCTGGGAGCAATGGCACATCATTCTTGTTTGTGGTTGTGGTATGGCCACTGAAAGAAGTCCAGAGATCATCATGCTGTGGAAGGAGAGAACAGAATTAGTTCAACACGAGCTGTGCCACAAGTGAAGGACTTGTGTGCCCTCCATGCCTAGGCTCACCTTCCCCTCTCTAATAGGCAATACAGGCAGCAGGAGGCAGGCTACCATGAGTGGAGAGGAAGGGCATGCAAAGCACCACAAGTGCGAGAGGCAGCAGCATGGGGAGCGGACTGACTGGCAGAGGGGGCTGCGAGAGACGTGTTGGCGAGGGCGTGGCGGTGGTAGTCAGAAGGGGCAGACCCGAAGTGAGCGAAGAAAAGGTCTCGCACGTAGGCCGCAAAGGCCTCCTGATGGCATGGGCGCAATGGGTGGAGGGAGGGGGAGGGAGGGAGGGGTGTGTGCAGGGAGGAAGAAACACTCTGGTGGGACACAAGCAGTCGTCACACACCTATCCGCTCATGTGAAAGTTCTTCACACGGGAAGAATGAACAAAGTCAGAATGAGCATCCCAGCATACCATGGCATCACATCCCAGCATACCATGGCATCACATCCCAGCATACCATGGCATCACATCCCAGCATACCATGGCATCACATCCCAGCATACCATGGCATCACATCCCAGCATACCATGGCATCACATCCCAGCATACCATGGAATCACATCCCAGCATACCATGGTATCACATCCCAGCATACCATGGTATCACATCCCAGCATACCATGGTATCACATCCCAGCATACCATGGTATCACATCCCAGCATACCATGGTATCACATCCCAGCATACCATGGTATCACATCCCAGCATACCATGGTATCACATCCCAGCATACCATGGTATCAGAGCCCGTCGCATGTGCGTGGATGAGGGGGTCACACAGCTGGTCCGGGCGGCCGTACTGAAACTGAAGAGAGAGGCGCCGGTGTGACGGGTGGAATGATGACAAGGAGAGATTGGATGGAAATACACAAAGGGGCGAATCAGGGAGAGAAGGGAGAAAGAAGGTAATGCAGTGATGGAATTGGTGAAATAAAGTGAGTGCAGGAGCGAGGTGGAGAAAGAGAAAGCACGTGGATAAACAGATGAGAAGGCCAGAAGCAGATTGGATACAAAGCAAGTATTGTGGTAAACAGCATTAACAGGAATATAAGTGCATCTCGCATGCAGCAGCATGCAGCTACGCTTACTGGCATGGCTGCACGTGTGGCGTACCGCAAAGACAGCAGCGTCTGCGAGGAGGAAGAGGAAGTCGCCATCGTGCTCCACCTGGCAGCGTGCACATGGAGAGGGTGGGCATACAAAGAGTCAACATGGGGAGAGGCGTGAGGGGTGCAGTGATACCCTGAGAGACAGGCTTGCATGCAAGGAGGACGAGAGGCAATGGAGCAGACTGCAGAAAGTGTGCAGTACAATATACGCTAGCCATTTCTCCTGACCCAACGAAAACTCGCATCAAAAGGCGCACATGCATAACAAGAAAGGGAAAAACATGTCGAGAGTGGGATTTGAACCCACGCCCTTTCAAACTGGAACCTTAATCCAGCGCCTTAGACCAACTCGGCCATCTCGACGTTGTATAACTATCTGGTAAATACTATATTGGTGAGATGAGGGACGAAGAGGAGGAGAGGAGGGAACTGGTTGGCCGTGCAACTGCAAAACACTTGGTCTACTTGAGACCCTGGCTTTAAAGGGGAGTAGAATGGGAGGTGAAACTTGAAGGCAAGCTGAGAGAGCACAAAGAGAGTGGCCCGAGAGTGCAAGTGAGGGCAGAGAGAGGGCGCACAGTGGCGGCAGCAAAGAGGTGCTTGACAGCCTGGCGGGCCTCCGGTGACGAGGCGAGTTGCTGCTCCACGCAGCGGGTGATGTTGGCCAGGATGGCGGCACACTGGGGGCCCGCTGACTGCACCACCTGGTCGCCGGGGAGAAGGCGCGAGGGCAGGGGGTCGGGGAGGGGCGTGAAGGGTGAAAGCAAACTACGTCAGAAGGAAAGAAAGGAATTTGCATTTCTGTTGATTGCTATAAGATCTTTTCAGAAACCGTGAAACGGGAACACATCCAGCACACAAGAAACGCTCAGCCAGCCTGTCATGACAGCGTGGGGAATGGCTGGATGGCACACAAGGGATCGACATGCAGATGCTTGCAGCAAGCTCGAGATCCCCAGACCCGGAAACGAGACGCATCGCCAACCTCTCCCGTCCAACGCAGTGTCGGCGAAGTCTCCGGAACGGAGACACGGGGCCAGAGGTTGAGCTGATGCGCAGCGTATCGGACCGCAAACGGCCACAGAAAGTGGGGGGCAGCCGCATGGATCAAGGAGGTACGAGCGACCTCCATGACCAGGCCAATGCGGCGCTCAGCAACCCCATTCTGCTGTGGAGAGGCCGGAAGCGTGAACGACTGCTCAATGCCCTGCCCCTGACAGTAGGCCCTCAAGAGGTCGGAGGAAAACTCCCCACCTCTGTCAGAGTGCAGACGCAGGACAGGAAAGTCCGAGTGGAACCTCTCGCTGAGCTGGAGACGGGCAGCGCGGATCCAAGGGATCAAAACATCAGGGACTTCACCCTTGGTGCGCAAGGGGAAGACCGTGGTGTAGCGCGAGTAGTCGTCAACAACTATCAAGAAGTACCTCTCGTGACCCTGTCCACGGACGCGGGCCGGGCCCCACACGTCCATGTGGAGCGTCTGCAGGGGAGCAGTCGTCGGGGGAAACGAGGAGGAGTGAGGAGCGGCGCGCTGCCGCCCCTCGACACAGGGAAGACAAGGAGGAGCAGGCGAGGGTGGGAGGGGAGGGAGAACCCTGGGAAGACCAGAGACAAGGTACCGGGAGTGCATGCCACGAAAGCGCTGCACTGACGGGTGACCAAGGCGGTGGTGCCAGAGGACGGTCTCGTGCGCCAGGGAGCGACACGAGCAGGGGGCCGACAGCTGACCTGACGCAGACGCAGCTACCTGAGGGGACTCAGTGGTCAGTGTGTACAGGTCCGACCCCGGCTGCCGAGTGAAGGTAGCCAGGTGGCGACCCGTCCGAGCACACGTGCAGTGTGTCACGCGCTCGTAGGCAGGGGTGAACTGGTGGACACCCCCGTCCTGGAGCGCACTACCCGCCACCAAGTTCGTAGAGAACGAGGGGAGGTAGAGACCTGACAGTGTGCCCGACGGGACCGCAGGACAAGGGAGAACAGTAGAGGAGGTCGCATTGACCGGATCCCTAGAGGGGTCAGCGAGGGAGACTGCAACCGGCCGAGCAAGCTGCTCAAGGGCAGTGCGGTCACGAAAGAAACAGCGGGAAGCACCTGAGTCCAGTGTGAAGGTGTGCAGTGCCTCAGTAGACGCAGTACCAGAGGGCGCAGACTCACGAGCACCTAGAGCAGCAGCCTCACCAGCACCTAGAGCAGCAGCCTCACCAGGACCTGGGGCAGCAGACGTACTAGCACCTAGAGCGGCCGCCTCACCGGCACCTGGAGCAGCAGACTGGATACCGGGGTCACGCGGCACACACAGGTGACAGGCTCCCTCGGCACTAGTAGACAGTGCATACATTGCAGTGAGAATAGCATCATAGTCAAGAGCAAAGATATCTACCGTCTGTCTAAGCAGCTCCAGCCAGGAGGGGAGCTCAGCGGCGTCGCCAAACTCTGTACCCCAAGCGTCGCCCAGACGGGCGAAGCAGTGGGACTCTGTGTGACCACGTGTCCCGCAAGGCTGACCAGTCCGGACACCTGTGCGAATGACGTACGGGCAGCGAGCAGTACTCAGTGACCCTCTACTCCCGTTCGAGCTCCCGCGGTTGTTGCCGTCGTTGCGCCGCTTGAAGTGACCCGTCCCTTTCGCCTTCGCATCGCGGGAGAAGTGTGCCGCACCGATTGCATCGCCATGCAATTTCGTGCGCCTCGCCTCTTCGTTGATGAGGCGTGCCACCACTTGCTCCTTCTTCCACGTATCTTGCGTCCCATCCAACATCGTGATCACCGTTGACCATGCTTCACCGAGGCCCGCGAGGAGCGTCATGATCCAATCGTTGTCTTCCCCGCTCGCGTCGAGTTCCACCAAGCGCTCGCCAAGCTCCTCCATGCGGTTGACGTACACGCGTATTGACTCGCCGTCCTTCATCCGCACCGTGAAGAAGTCGAGGCGCGCTTGAAGCTTGCTATGAAGCGACTTGGAGACGTGCTCTCCTTCGAGTCGCTTCCACGCTTCACGAGTCGCGCCTTCACGGTCGATGCAAGGGCTCACGATGGGGACGAGTTGGAGACTTAGCTTGGACACAAGAAAGGCAACGTGCGGCGTTGTCGAGAAGTCCGCTGGGAGGGAAGAGGCTGTTGGCGCATTCGTCGTCGACGAATTATCGGAGGAACCCATGGCGTAGCAACGATTGAGCGAGCACTCCTACTCTAGCTCTCATACCATGAAAGAAACCGTCCTGCTCTAAGTTACGCCACAGAATGAACTTGGCGATTTAGAAGCAGAGCCTAGGATCAATCCGACGGGCTCAGAGCAAGGATTCCGTAGCAACTTAGATCACAGAAATCGCCCAAGAGATGAGAGAGCAATAGTTGTTTATATATGGCTGGGTACAAGCTACGAATTGAAGTTAACTCTCTGGAATTTGCTCTCTGGTTTTATAGCTAAAACATGCAAGCACAATTGTAACATCGAACCGCGCGCGACTCGCCGGAAATTCGGACTCAGGATCGCGTCCAATTTCCGCGACGTCCGCGTTCACAATTTCGGACTTTGCCGGGTTCGTTTCTTCACGCCGACAATCGTGTGTTACAAGGAACAATAGCGAGTGTAGCGAAATGTTCGTAACATTCGCTTGCACTCTCGCTATTTTCGTGCATGCTTGTGGGGCTGCCAAGTGTTGCTCCCACAAATATTCGGACCCAACCGGGGGAAGTTCGGTTGCGTGGCGACGCGGACAATCCGCCGTCACCCCAACCTTCCAAGAACGAACCCTCCCTTGGTCCGAGTCAAGGGAGGTCTTTCGCGTGGGGGGCAATCCCGTCCCCCGCACTTCCAACACTCTAATCTCGTGCATACGTGTGTGCGCTGGATGTGGCCTGTATTGTTGCTTGATGTGAATTTTGGTGGAGTTACGAGTGAGTACGGCATGCCAGTCTTGCGCCAAATTCGCACAGATATGTGCTTGAAAGTCGCCACCAATCAGAATTGTAAACAACTTCCAAATGTTCCGCGTTCTCATCTGAGTCGTCTCGGGGTGAAAAAATAAAAACGCACAGCACTTGAACTTTTCAAAACGTTCCAAAGAAACTTGAGTTTTCAAGTGGACCCAACTAGAAGGGGGGGGGCACTATTTTGCCTACGGGCTTTAAAATGCATCAAGGGGAGAAAGTGACCACATCAAGAAGTGCAGCGAAACCGTCCCTGACGACATGTTCGTCTCGATGGTCCTTTCCGGACTAGGACCCGATTGGCGCCAATTTCCGAGTCCGCTGTCTGCGCCACACTCCTCTCTGAGCAGAAGGAGATCGACCTGTACAATGAGAAGAACACCAAGAGGGAGAAGTTAGCGTTCTTCACTGGAGCAACTGAAGGGGAGTCACAAGAGAAGAAAGGGTTCTTATGCAAATACTGCAAGAAACTAGGTCACACCATGGATCGATGCTAGAAACGCAAGGCTGCTAACGAACGACGCAACAGCAACTCACCTGGTCAACAACCCTCGGCTCCTTCCTCAACTCCAGCCGCGACGACGACAATGTCGCCACCTTCCGTCGCAAGCATTTCGCAAACCCTTGCACGCATCTCATCCAAGGACAAGGGAAAAGGGTCAGTTTTGAGCTGCATGGCACGTCGCAGAGGCATTCGCTACTACGACGAAACTCAGTTCCCGCCAACCGCGCCAGTCGCCCCCATCACACCAAACAACGACCACACACTCAGTTCTTAGAGCGACAGGCCAACAAACATCCCACCTGACTTCAAATTGCCTCCGAGCACACCAGAGTCTCCTCCAAGCTTCCCCGCAAGGCACGAGAATGATCTCTCGCCTTATTGGGTTGACGTTGACCGCATCATCACTCCAAAGATTGCCAGCATCGCGCGACAAAGCCGCGACAACTTCAACACTTGGTACCTGGATAGCAGCTGCGGACAACACATGGTGGGATCAACAAAATACATCAGCAACTAAAAAAGAATGCGACGACCGTGCGAAATCACTGTCGCAAACAACGATCGACTCCAAGCCTATGACATTAGAGAAATTTACCAGCAGTCAAGCGGCACCAACTTCACCATCCACATCGGAGATGTGCTCGTTGTCGCCGAACTTCAGTTCAATTTTCTCTCGGAAGCTCAACTAATGAAGTGTGGAGTCGACATTCGAAGCAACTGCGAAGACAAAACCTTCGAATTATTTTATAAAAACAGTTTCATCAGCGAGGCGATCGACGAAGTCGGCGTTTTCGTACTGAACTTCGACTCACAGGGCACCACCGGCGACTCAGACATAACTCTTCTGCTGAAGACAACACCCACAGAGACGCCGACTTGGTCGCACCCTGCGGAGATGGACCTCGAACGCCCCGCTTCATATGTGTCAAACATATCTGATATAGCCTGTTTAGGCTGTAGTGGGTTAGACCTTAGGGGGTACAGCTTTTCTAGGTTTTCCTATTTGTACCCATCTCATTTCTAGTCCACATCATTCCTCGCAAGTTCTCTCACATGGTATAGAGCGGATTCCCTAGTGGGACCGTTTTCCCTTGGGCCCACCACGTCGAATATTTTTTTTTCCTACCCTGCCCGAATCGCGCATCGCGCTCTGCCCTACTGCCACCGTAGCGGCCCTACCCTTTCGGCCCGTCGCGTCCTTAGCGGCCCGCCCTGCCTTCACGGCCCTTAGCGGCCCGCCCTCTCGCCCTTAGCGGCCCACCCTGCCGCCCTTAACGGCCCCTTCGCGGCTCCTTCGCGGCCCCTTCGGGGCCCTTCGCGGCCCCTTCGCGGCCCTTCGCGGCCCCTTCGCGGCCCTTCGCGGCCCCTTCTCGGCCCTTCGCGACCCCTTCGCGGCCCTTCGCGGCCCCTTCGCGGCCCTTCGCGGCCCCACCCCGCCATCGCGGCTTG